ATTCACTCTTACTCCTGGTCCCAAGCTCTGATGTTCCCATCTGTAAAATGGGGCTCTCTTCAGAGAGAAATGAGTTACTACATGCATAAAAGCAGTTTGGAAAAGGTATCACAGGACATACAGAGAAAAAGTCTTTTTTTTTTTTTTTTTTGAGGCAGAGTCTTGCTTTGTCACCCAGCTGGAGTGCAGTGGCACCATCTTGGCTCACTGCAACCTCTGCATCCCAGGTTCAAGTGATTCTCCTGCCTTAACTGCCCCCAAGCCTTGCAAGTAGCTGGGATTAAAGGTACCTGCCTCCACTCCTAGCTAATTTCTGTATTTTTAGTAGAGTCATAGTTTCATTGTGTTGGCCAGTTGGTCTTGATCTCCTGACCTCAGGAAAATCTTTTTTTCTTAAGAGATAGGGTCGTGCTATGTTGCCCAGGCTTGTCTCAGACTCCTGGGCTCAAGCATTCTTCTTACTTCAGCCTCACAAAGTGCTGGGATTACAGGCGTGAGCCCCCATGCCTGGCCAAAAAATCACTTTTATTCTGCCCACTTCTCCTTCTCCTTCCGATATTGTGTCCATCCCAGTGATGGACCATTGATTCACCCTTTTATTCATTCAGCATTCAGGTGCCTACTGTACACCCAGCTCTAGGCTGGGCACTATGAGCACTTAGAAGAGCTGGGTAGTTTCTGCTTCTCCAGAACTCAGATGCCAGTAGGGGAGAGGGATGAACACACACTCAAGGACAGGGTAGGGACCGTGCACTAAGATAAAGGGAAAACCCAAGGGACAGGTGGGAGCACAGCAGAGGTGTCCAGTCCATCCTGAGGAGTCCAGATGCTCCTCAACAATGCAGTACCTGGGGTTAGTCGCATGGGAAGGGGAAAGAAGACCAGGAAGGGAAAGCTCAGGGGTGTGAAGCAGTTCGGTTTGTGCCTACTGAAGGAAAAAATGCATGAGCAGGCTCTTCTGGTTTTGTTTTTTGATCTTTATTTTTGAGATAAGAGTCCTGCTCTGTCACCCCGGTTAAAGGGCAGTGGCATGATCTCAGCTGACTGCAGCCTCGGCCTCCCAGGTTCAAGTGATCCTCCTGCCTCAGCCTCCTGAGTAGCTGGGACTACAGGCATATGCCACCATGCCTGGCTGTTTGTAATTCTTTGTAGAGATGGGCTTGTTTCCCAGGCTGGCCTCAAACTCCTAGGCTGGGATTACAGGCGTGAGACACCATGCCCAGCCTTCAGGCCCCTCTTTTTTTGGCTATTTCTCTGATATTTTTGGCTCCCCTTTCCTGGCTCAGAGGCATCCTTTGGCCACACCTCCTGCTCCCACCCTAGATTCCAGCCCTGAGCTCCAGAAACAGAGAAACTTGTTAGCAAGCCCAGGAGATGCCTTCCCCCCTCCACAACCCTCAGGAGCCCGAGGGGTAACTAGGAGCTGACTGGGCCTTGAGGTTATTGGGGTTCCAACCTGACCCTGATGCTGTGATCCCCCCAGGATGAGAAGGCTGAGGGCCTCATCAATGTCTCCAACTATAGCCTGGAAAGTGGACATGATCAGAAGAAGAAATAGTTAAGTCTTGGGGTATGATGGGCTGGGGGAACGGAGACAGAAAGGGAGAGGAAGGGTGATGGGGTAGCAGCGGGAGGTATGGCAGGTGGCTGGGGCGCCCAGAATCCAGCCTTTCTGAGCTCTGGGTGGGCACGCCCGGGCTGAGTAAGGCTCCTCCACGCCCTGGCAGTGTGTTTCAGCTCACCCATGATGTGTACAAACCCTTCATCTTCGCTGCTGATACCCTGACGGATCTGAGCATGTGAGTATCACCTCCCTAAGCCCCTCCTCTCATATAACTCCCAGCTTGGGAGCCTGGGCTCAGGAGCCTGGAGATGCAAATCCCAGCTCTCTGAGAATGGTTGATCAAGGTACTCAGTTTCTCTCTCTCTCTCTCTCTCTCTCTCTCTCTCTCTCTCTCTCTCTCTCTCGCTCTCTCTCTCTCTCTCTCTCTCTCTCTTTCTTTTGAGATAGAGTCTCACTGTGTCGCCCAGGCTGGAGTACAGTGGTGTGATCTCGGCTCACTGCAACCTCCGCCTTCTAGGTTCAAGTGATTCTCTTGCCTCAGCCTCTCAAGTAGCTGGGACTACAGGCACCGGCCACCATGCCTGGCTAATTGTTTATTTTTAGTAGAGACAGGGTTTCACTATGTTGGCCAGGCTGGTCTTGAACTCCTGACCTTGTGATCTGCCTCCCAAAGTGCTGGAGTTACAGGCCTGAGCCACCGTGCCCACTGTCTCTTTTTTTAATTAAAAAGTTCTGGGAGAGATGGAATTTACTATGTTACCCATGCTGGTCTCAAACACCTGGCCTCAAGCAATCCTCCTACCTCAGCTGCCCAAAGTGCTGGAGTAACAGATGCTAGCCACCACACATAGCCAGTACTCGCTTCTCTTCCCTGTTTCGTCGTCTATAAAATGGGTACATAAGCGTTCATTCCTCTCAGAGTTGCTCCAAGGATCGTTAGATGATGATGTGGGTAAAAAGCCCCCAGCATACAGGAGGGCCCCAGTGGATGGAAGCCCCCTGAGACCTGCTTGCTCTCCCTAGGTGGGTGCGTCATCTCATTACCTGCATCTCCAAGTACCAGTCTCCCAGCCGGGCCCCACCACCCCGAGAGGAAGGTGGGTGTCTCATGGGGTTGAGTGGGAGGAACCCTCACCTGAGCCTCTGTTTTTCCTGGGATGGGGGCTGGAAACTCAAATGCCCTAGACCACTCTCTGGCCTCCCAAAACCCTGTGGGCTCCCTAACTGCTCCTCCTCACCCCAGACTGCTACAGTGAGACGGAAGCAGAAGACCCAGACGATGAGGCTGGGTCCCGCTCAGCCTCGGTAAGTAGGGGGCCGCCTGGGGTGGGAGATGGGGGTAAATAGCAGGGTGTGGCGCTCAGATGGAGACCCTCTGTGCTTTCCACTCTGCCTGCAGCCCAGCCCTGCTCAAGCTGGGAGTCCCCTCTGTGGAGACACGTCACCTGCAGCCACCCCCACACAGCACAGCCCACGGACCTCCTTTGGCTCTGTGACAGGTGCTGGACTGGAGTTGGGAGCTGGGCTGGGGGCTGAGGGAGCACATCCTCATCCTGCTTCTCCCTCCCACAGACAGCAGTGAAGAGGCACTGGAAGGAATAGTACGGGGACTGAGGCAGGGTGGCGTGTCCCCCCTGGGCCAGCCATACCTGACCCTGGATCAGTGTCGGAGCTCTTTCATGCGGCGCAACCGAGACCCCCAGCTCAATGAGCGAGTGCACCGTGTGCGGGTGCTACAGAGCACACTCAAGGTTAGGTAGGGGTTCTGGGCATGGCAAGGGACTAGGCTCCGGGCTTCAGGCTTTGGTTTGCAGCCCTCACCTCCACCCTGGGCACCAGACTCCAGACTCGGATCTGGACTCTGGGCTTAGCAGCTAACAATGGGCTCAGCTGTGGACTGGGCCAGGTTGTAGGTTCCAAGTGGGGATTTGGGTCTCACCTAGGCTCCTCGCACCATGCTGGCCAGGTGCTAGCTTCCAGGCACTAGACTGCAGAGTGATGTTGGGGCTCGAGCTCTGCCTACTTCTGGGGGTGATCTTGGTCCCTCAGCCCCTCCTCTCCACATAGGCAAAGCTGCAGGAACTGCAGGTCCTGGAGGAAGTGCTGGGTGACCCTGAGCTGACTGGGGAGAAGTTCCGCCGGTGGAAGGAGCAGAACCAGGAGCTGTACTCAGAGGGCCTGGGGGCTTGGGGAGTGGCGCAGGCTGAAGGCAGCTCCTACGTCTTGACCTCTGACTCCAGAGAACAGTCCTTCCAGTCCCTGCCCTCTGACTCTGAAGATTCAGCACTCCCATCTCTGCCCCCTGACCCCAGAGAACAACCTCCAACCTCCTGACCTCTGACCCTGGCCAGCACCCTAGCTCCTGACCTTTGACCTGATGGCCACTTCAACCCTAGCCTCTGACGTGTCCAGAACAGAGCATCCTTGGATTCTGTTCAGGGTGGGAAGTAGTACTGCTAGTCATGGTCCCACCCTGAGCTGACCCCTCTGCCTAGGCCCCATCATTCCCGCTCCTGTCCCCCCTGGAACTGGGTAAAGTGAAGTGAGCTTTGTGCCACCCTCTCCTCCCCTGCCGAAGAAGAAACTCTTCCACCTCATCCTCCCATCTCTGGGGGCACAGCCCTGCCCCCCTAGTTCCTTGGCAATTCTCCCCAAACCGGGTCTGCACAGGTGTTCTTTATTTTACATGAGGGACACTTTTCAACCAAATAAAGTCAATTTTTCTAAAAATGAGCCTATATGTATGTTTGCTTTCATATTAGAATTGGAAATCTGCCCCCCGGAGGGGACTGGAGTGAGTGCTCTTGGCCAGAGGATAGGTGGCTGACCCTTCGTGCAGCCTGTTGGCCTGGGCTGCCCCTGAGCTCCAAACCTGTCAGGGTGGTGGGTGGACTACCCAGGGCTAAGGAGGGCTCTGACTCATGTCTACCTCTCCCCAGCTCTTAGAAGGCTAATGGTGATCTCCTACCCCATTTCCGGGGGGTATGAAATGAGAAACTCACTTTGCAGATGGGGAAACACACCTTGCACGGAAAAGTGGTGCGGACAACGCTGGAGACTGGGCGGGTAGGATGAGGCAGCTGGTGGGGAGGGGTGCAGGTTGACGTGTGCCGTGAGGAGGCCCCGGGCAAAACATTTCCTCCACTCCTCATTCCAGCCTCACCTCCAGCTCCTGGATCCAAGGCAGGGAGGGACATGTCCCTATGACTCCTTCCAGGCTGCACAGGAGATCTAACCTACTCCCATCAGCCTCTGACACCCACCCCCAGCCCAACATCCCTGCAGCATCCCTCTGTGGGAGGTGGAGGAGGACCACTGGGAAGAGCTGCTCTACCAGGTTGGAATTCCTTAGTAGAATGCAGAAAGCTGGAGGTCACAGAGGCCTCTGTGATATCACCACGAGGGGGAGTGAGACCACTTGGAAAGAAGATTCTTTGAAGAGAAGAAGAAACTAAACAACCATGACTTACAATGAAAAGGCCCAGCGGCAGCAGTGGAACGCCCGTACTGTCCTCTCCAGGTGGAGCAGGGCTCAGGAGAACCATATGGAGTTTGGAGAGGCAGTAATTGCACTGAAGGCCCGCCCCTCTGCCCTGCAGAGTACCATTCACGAGTCCTACGGTCAGGCAGAGGAGCAGGTGCTCATCAACCGCCAGGACGTCATGAACAAAGTGGTAAGGACAGCTCTCGCCCCACAGTGGCCTCCTGCAGCTGTGCTCATGGCAGCAGGCCCTCATGGTAACTCTGCCCCCTCTACTCTCTAAACGCTCCCAGAGGACCCTCCCCAGCAGTGATCCCTGAGTGACTGCCCATGGTATGTTAGTAACTCGCTGGCAGTGCCCCCTGTAGGAACCCTTATATAATGATTGTCTTCACTGTCAGAGAGCCCCAAAAGATTATCTGGCAATGACTTCCACAAAGATCCCCCAGTAGTAATCCACTTTTAGTGGCCATTTAGATAGTGACCTCTACGCTGATGTCTCCACACCATGGTCCACTCTCGGATGACTTCCCCCGAGTAGAGTGGGCCTCAGGGACCCCCATTCTCTAAGAGCAAATCTCCAGGCAGAGGCTCCCTATGGTGACACCTGCCTGAAGGAAGGTCCTGCCCTCTCCCAGGATGCCTGGGACGTGCAGGAGTTCATCACTCGCATGTTCATCAAGCAGCTGCTTCAACACCCTGCCTTCCAACTGCTGCTGGCCGTGCTGCTGGTGATCAACGCCATCACCATCGCTCTCCGTACCAGCTCCTACCTGGACCAGGTGGGATGCCATCATGGCCTCTACCCCACTAACTCTAATGGGGGCTTCCCTCTCCCGGCCTCAGTCTCCTCAACTGTCTATGATAGTTGAATTGGATGCTCTTCAAGGGTCTGTCAGCTCTGACCTTCTAGCAGTCTGGAGATCAAGGAAGACTTCATGGTAGAAGGGCTCTGCAGCCTGGCTTTGATGAATGCATTGGATTTGTAGAGGAAGGGCAGGAAAAGAAGGGTGTGAGCAGAGGGAGGCAAATGGATACTTTGTGGAGAAGGGGTATTCAGTTCTAACCAGCAGTCACTAAGGGAGAATCACTCAGTGCCAGGCAGGCACTGACTGTGCAGAGTGCCAGGGACCCAGGGATAGTAGGCACAACTGGGTCTTGTCTCAGACACATAGAAAATCTCACTACAAGTGCCTAAGTAGCACCCAGAGTCCATGGAGGCTCAAAGAAGGCACTCAAACCTAATCTGGGGAATCAGAGCCGGCTTCCTGGAGAAAGTGACACTAGAGCTGAGAGTGAAAAAGTAGTAGGATGTGGGCCAGGTACGGTGGCTCATGCCTGTAATCCCTGCACTTTGGGAGACCAAGTGGGTGGATCACAAGGTCAGCAGATCGAGACCATCCTGGCCAACATGGCGAAACCCTGTTTTTACTAAAAATACAAAAGAATTAGCCGGGCATGGTGGCGGACTCCTGTAGTCCCATCTACTCGGGAAGCTGAGGAGGCAGAGATTGCAGTGAGCCGGGATTGTGCCACTGCACTACAGCCTGGGCAACAATTCGAGACTCCCTCTCAAAAAAAAAAAAAAAAAAAGAAAAGAAAAAAGAAATAGGATGTGATCTTTGTCACTACAACAAAGAAAAAGAAAACAAGAACATGTAGGAGTTGGCCAGGCAAAGAGAGGTGGGAGAGAGAGAGTGTTTTGGGCAGAAGAAACAGCATGTGAGAGACTTCTCTGTGTCCAACTTGAAGTTCAGTATATTTATCTTTGATGTTTTAATTTCTTTTTTTTTTTTTTTTTTTTTAAGAGGCAGGGTCTCTGTCACCCAGGCTGGGACGCAGTGGCGCCATCTTGGTTCAATGCAGCCTTAAACTCCTGGACTCAAGTGATCCTCCTGCCTGAGCTTCCCAAGTAGCTGGGACTACAGGCACAATCTACCATGCTTGGCTAATTTAAACATTTCTTTTTGAGTTGGGCACAGTGGCTCACACCTGTAATCCCAAAATTTTGGGAGGCCAAAGCAGGTAGATCCCTTGATGTCAGGAGTTCAAGACCAGCCTGGCCAACATGGAGAAACCCCATCTCTCTAAAAGTACAAAAATTAGCCGGGTGTGGTGTTGGACATCTATAATCTCAGCTACTTGGGAGGCTGAGGCAGGAGATTCGCTTGAACCGAGAAGGTGGAGGTTGCAGTGAGCCAAGATTGCACCACTGCACTCCAGTCTGGGTGACTGGAGCGAGACTGTGTGTCAAATTTTTTTTTTCTTTTTTTCAGAGACAGGGTCTCACTATGTTGCCCAGGCTGGTCTGGAACTCCTGGGCTCAAGCAATCCTCCAGCCTTGGCCTCCAGAGTGCAGGGATTATAGGTGTGATCCACCACACTGGGCTGAAGACTATTTAGAATGCTTTTTTGAATAACGGTGTGGCTGTCCTGTTGTCTCCGGTGGCCACCAGGGTGGAACTGAGAGAATAAACAAGGGAAAAGAAGCTCTTCCTCACTGTAGGAAGAATTCCCTTTGGGAATTTGGAATAGTTGAGGAACCCATAACCTTAACCGGTCATCTGAGTTTAAGCAGCTCAGCTCAGCCTGGCATTGGCCGATGGATGGGAGTGGTGGCAAGGTATGGGTAGAAGGAGGCCCCCCCAATCCCGTTATGTGGCAGTGGGCCCTGAGGCACTGAGTCTGTTGCACATTGGGGTAAAGAAAGGGAGGACACTTTGGGAGGCTCAGGCGGGTGGGTCACTAGAGGTCAGGAGTTTGAGACGAGCCTGACCAACATGGTGAAACCCCATCTCTACTAAAAATACAAAATTAGCCAGGCTGGTGGCATACACCAGTAATCCCAGCTACTTGGAAGCCTGAGGCAGGAGAATTGCTTGAACCCAGGAGGTAGAGTTTGCAGTGAGCCAAGACCTCACAAAAAAAAGAAAGGGAGGAGACACAGTGACTCGGGTGACTGCTAGGTGGAGTTGGGCACTGTGGGGGCTGTTAGTGGGTTCAAAGCCATGTGAAGCTGAAGGAGAAAGTTCGAGGTTGGGAGAATGTGAGTTAGGCTCTGGACAGACCCCAGTCATCCATCTACCAATTCATTCATCCAGGGTGCATGTCCTGGACCCATGAGTGGCAGGATACCCAGGAGTTTGGTCAGACCTGACCTGGAGAATTTGGAGAGCTAGACCAGCAGGAGAGGTTAGGACAGATGGAGCTTGGTGTCCTCCATTCTCAGGGGCCAGGCCTTTTCCTCCCAATCCTGGAGCCTGTTCTGATTCTCCTACCTCCCTCTCCAAAATATACCTACTCTAGAGGTTAGGGACAAAGGTCTATAGTCAGACAACAATCTTTTTTTTTTTTAGATACGTTGTCTCGCTCTGTCATCCAGGCTGGAGTGCAGTGGTGTGATCTTAGCTCACTGAAACCTCTGCCTCCTGGGTTCAAGCGAGTCTCCTGCCTTAGCCTCACAAATAGCTGGGACTACAGGCGCCTGCCACCACGCCCATCTTTTTTTTTTTTTTTTTTTTTTTTTGTATTTCCAGTAAAGATGGGGTTTCACCATATTGGCCAGGCTGGTCTTGAACTCCTGACCTTGTGATCCACCCACCTTGGTCTCCAAAGTGCTGGGATTACAAGTGTGAGCCACCTTGCCCAGCCCAGATAACAATCTTTATCGACTAGCTGTGCACACATAGGCATCACTCTGATTCCACTTCTGTAAGACGGGAATGAAACCTGCTTTGCAGGACAACAGTGATGGTAACATGAAGTGATTCGTGAATGGCCCTAGCACAGTGTCTGGCACACACATGCAAAGTGTGCTTTAAAGGAAGTGACAAGGATGCTGAGGACCAAGAGCAGCCATGATATGGGCCTTCCCTCCCCCAAAGACATCATCTCCCTGCCGGCTTGCCCAGGCCCTGCTCCACTGACCTCTCTGCCCCTCTTTTTCTCTGTCTTCCATGTAGAAACACTATGAGCTGTTCTCTACCATAGATAACGTTGTGCTGACCATTCTTATCTGTGAGGTTCTCCTCGGCTGGCTCAATGGCTTCTGGATTTTCTGGAAGGTGAGATCCCGAGCCCTTTGCCTCTACTCCTTCATGGGGACTGCACGCCACCCAGTCCACCCCTATAATCCTGGTCCTCCAAAACTGAGGGTGTGTGTGTGTGTGTGTGTGTGTGTGTGCACGCGCACGCGCACGCACGCACGAAGAGAAAGAGTGTGTGTTAGTTCTGAGATGTGTATGATGTGGCAGAAAGGAACTAGTACTAGAAGTGCAGCCTCCCTGGGCTCCATTCCAATCCCTGTTCCAGCCTTCCCCAGCTCTGTAGTCTTGGATAAACCTGACTTCCTCATCTGAGAAATGGGGCTGAGAGCATCTACCTTAACTTACAGAGGTCAGCAGGGATCAGCACACTTTTTCTGTAATTGGCCAGATAATAAAGATTTTAAGCTTCATGGCTGTACAGTCTCTGTTGCAATGACTCACCTCTGCCGTGGCAGCACAAAGCAACCACAGACCACACATAAGTGAAATGGGCATGGCTGTGTCCCTGGATGCCCAAATTGGAATTTCATGTAATTTTCGCATGTTACAAAATCTGATCTTCCCTATTCACTTGCTTTACTCCTACTTACAGATTCGTTGAGATGACTTCTCCTCCAGGAAGTCTTCCTGTGTCTCCCAGACTAGGTTAGGTGCTGCTTTGTGTCTCCATGATGCTATGCACTTTTTTTGAGTGTGTGCATGGAGTTAAAATTTGCTGTTTATCCATCTCCCTCAAAATAGTCTGTGAGTCCAACAGGGCAGACATCCTATATTCTCAGAAACTGGATTTGGATATGGCACACAACAGGAGCTGCACACTGAATGGATATACAGGTGGATATGTAGACGGGCAGACTTGTCTCTCTTTGTGTGGAGAAGGTATGGACTCCAAGTGTGAGAGGCCAGGAGGACTTGTGCTTATTGGGCTACCCAATACATTTAAGAAGTTTTTTTTTCATTAAATATAGTTTTCTTGCTGAGTGTAGTGGCTCATGCCTGTAATCCTAGCACTTTGGAAGGCTGAGGTGAGAGGATCACTTGAGGCCAGGAGTTTGAGACAGCCTGGCCAACATGGTGAAACTTCGTCTCTACTAAAAATACGAAAACTAGCTGGGCATGGTGGCGCACGCCTGTAATCCCGGCTACTTAGAGGCTGAGGTATAAATATCTCTTGAACCGGGGAGGTGGAGGTTGCAGTAAGCTGAGATTGTGCCACTGCACTCCAGCCTGGGCAACAGAGTGGGACTCTGTTTCAAAAAACAGTTTTCTTTTTGAATCTTTAAGACAGATGCTGGTCAAAACTATATTGAAAGGTACCCACAGAATTCTTACTTCTCTCTTGCCCCCTCATCCTCTTTCTCCCACCCCTATACTTTCTAGGTAATGTTTTTATATTTATAGTCTCTTTTTTATTGTCTTTGTCCATTTAGTGTTGCTATAAAGGAATACCTGAGCTGGGCACACTAGCTCACGCCTGTAATCCCAACACTTTGGGAGGCCGAGGCGGGTGGATCACGAGGTCAAGAGATCGAGACCATCCTGGTCAACATGGTGAAACCCCATCTCTACTAAAAAGACAAAAAATTAGCTGGGCATGGTGGCGCGTGCCTGTAATCCCAGCTACTCAGGAGGCTGAGGCAGGAGAATTGCCTGAACCCAGGAGGCGGAGGTTGCGGTGAGCCGAGATCGTGCCATTGCACTCCAGCCTGGGTAACAAGAGCGAAACTCCGTCTCAAAAAAAAAAAAAAGGAATACCTGAGATTGAATAACTTATAAAGAAAAGAGTTGTATTTGGCTCCCAGTTCTGCAGCCTGTATGAGAAGCATGGTGCCAACATCTGCTTCCAGTGAGGGCTTCAGGCTGCTTCCACTCATGGCAGAAGGTGAAGCATGTGCAGATCACATGGCGAGAGAGGAAACAAGAGAGAGCATGAGGGTGAGGTGCCAGGCTCTTTTTAACAAGCAGCTTTTGAGGGAACTCACTCATTGCCATCAGGATGGAATCAAGCCATTCATGAGGGATCCACCCCCATGACCCAACCACCTCCCATTAGGTCCCATCTCTTTTTTTTTTTTTTTTTAAAGATGGAGTTTCACCATGTTGGTCAGGCTGGTCTTGAACTCCAGACCTCAGGTGATCCACCCGCCTTGGCCTCCAAAGTGCTTGGATTACAGGCGTGAGCCACCACACCCGGCTGGGTCCCATCTCTAACACTGAACACCAAATTACAACATGAGATTTGGAGGGGACAAACATTCAAACTATGGCATCCTCCCAGTTTTATTTTTACAATAATCAGCAAATATATCAATCTTCTCTTTCCTAACAGTAACATACTATAAACATTATTCTGCACTTTACTTTTGTCACTGAATGGATCCTGACAATCTTTCTGTATCAATACATAGAGATCTTTCTCATTTTTCTTTCTTTCTTTCTTTCTTTCTTTCTTTTTTTTTTTTTTTTTTGGTAGAAATGAAGTCTTGCTATGTTATTCAGGATAGTCTCAAACTCTTGGCCTCAAGCAATCCTCTCCCACCAGCCTCTCAAAGCACCGGGATCACAGACATGGGTCACCGTAACTGGCCTCATTTTTCTTTTTGTAGCTACATAGTATTCCATTGAATATAATGTAATTTAATGTGCCATAGTTTATCCAGTCAGTCTCTTCTGATCATTGGACATGTTGGTTTCCTTTTCCTTTCTTTCTTTTTCTTTTCTTTCTTTTTTTTTTTTTTAAAGACAGGGTCTCATCCCTGTTGCCCAGGCTGGAGTGCAATAGCACCCATCTCGGCTCACTGCAGCCCCAGCTTCTTGAGCTCAAATGATCCTCCCACCTCATCCCTCCAAGTAACTGGGACTACAGGCACATGCCACCACCCCCAGCTAATTTTTTATATTTTTTGTGAAGACAGAGTTTTGCCATGTTGCCCAGGCTAGTCTGGAACTCCTGAGCTCAAGCAATCCTCCTGCCTCAGCCTCCCAAAGTGCTGGAATTACAGGCTTGCACCACTGTACCTCGCATGTTGGTTATTCTCAACCTTATATAAATATCATTTTTACCTCGACCAGAGTATCTGCAGATCAGATTTCTAGAAGCGGGATCACTGTTCAGATTTTTCATACCTGTGAGTTTCCTCCTACTCCCCACCTCATTCCTGTGTAAGTGCTTCATTGGACAAAGTTTGCAAAGTGTGCCTGTCTCCCTTTCCTGTGCTGTGAGAGCTATTTTCTTCTCAGAACTGGCTACTGAAACAGTGTTCCTTGATGTTTTTACTAGGATTCATTTTCATTTTGTTATTAATTGTAGTGTGTGTCACATAAAGGCAGGAGCAGCCAAGTGTTTTCAGGTTACCTAACTGCAGGGCAAGGCTGTTTTGAGCATGCTTTAGTCAAGGCGGGCACTCAGCTTAGGGACCAGCTGTGTATCTGTGAGGGTCTTCGCTGTGTGTCTGAGACTGCATTTGGCTATTGACACATGTATGGGACAAGGAGTACACGTGTGTTTTGTGGTATGTTTGGGGGGTAGCAGGGTAACAGCTGTGGATGGTAGCTGACTGGTCCTGCTCTGAGAGAGACACTGAGCCACCATCTTTGGGATGTGGGGAGGGGAGACCTAGGAAGCCCCCATGGTCTGGGCCTGACAGACCCCACTGGGGCTGGCCTACCCCCCAGGACGGATGGAACATCCTCAACTTCATTATTGTTTTTCAATTACTGTTGGGATTCTTCAGCAAGGAAATCAATATCCCCTCCATCAACTACACTCTCAGGTGAGCTGGGAGCTCTGGAGAAATGAGGGGGACCTTTCTGGAACCCAGAAATGAGATGGGGGGATAATGACCAGGTGGAGATCAGCTCTGCCTCTCTAGGCAGCTGGTGGAGGGTGGGAGAAGGGAGGAGGGTGGGAAGGGCCTAGGGGCACTCCTGAGAGGCTCTACCATAGGGCACTTCGTCTGGTGCATGTGTGCATGGCGGTGGAGCCCCTGGCCCGGATCATCCGCGTCATCCTGACGTCTGTGCCTGACTTGGCCAATATCACGATCCTCATCCTCTTCTTTATGCTGGTCAGTGCCTGCCCCTGCCCCTGCCCCCAGCTGTTTCCCTTCCCCGAACAGGGCCCTTGGGTCATTGTGAATAGAGGGGTGTCTGGAGGAGCAGAGAACCCTGTGGGCCTGAATCCCTGTGACTTTCTTGGCAGTGTTCACTTGCATGACATTTTCATGTCCTATTTCCAGGCCCTTGGGTGAAGTTGGGGTGGCGCTCTGTTCTCTCTGGCAGATTTTTTCCGTGTTTGGGGTAACCCTCTTTGGTGCATTCGTGCCCAAGCACTTCCAGAACATGCGGGTGGCACTGTACACCCTCTTCATCTGCATCACCCAAGATGGCTGGGTGGACATCTACAGTGACTTCCAGTGAGTGCCGGTGGGACTTCTAGCCTCATCTTGCCTGTGGGGCAGGGAAACCAGTAGGGTGTGAGGGATCTCCCTGAGAGTGGGAGCTCCAGGGATCAGGATGAGGATGGTACCGTGGAAGCAAGGGTTCCCAGGTCTTTAAACAGAGGAAAAGGAAATACCCAGGCTTGTGGGTACCTGATGCCTTGTCCCCCTTGAATCTCCATACATTCAGGGTCCCATTCTGACCCTGTTATGGGGACTTCTCCTGTCATGCTAACCGGCTGGGTAGCTGGCTTTGGACAGGGAAGTGGGTCTGCAGTTGTGCCTCAGGTTACAGAGCCACCTCCCAGCTCACCAACCTGCCTGAACTCCTGGAATATCAGGTCTCCTTTCAATCATTCTTAAACCCACTGCCCACACTCATTTTTGTGTTCTGTTCTTTACCTCTTTTCCATTAAGTCGACACCCTGTTTCTTTCCAGTTTACTCCAGAAAGTGGGACCCCTTAACTGATTTATTTTTACCTCCTACATGTGAGTATAGAAGCCCAGTAGATAAAGGGCCTCTATAGTTATTCTCCATTATGGCGTAGGTAGTAGATAAAAATCAGACTGGCTGGGCGTGATGGTTCATGCCTGTAATCCCAGCACTTTGGGAGGCCAAGGCAGGTGGATCATCTGAAGTCAGGAGTTCGAGACCAGCCTGGCCAACATGGCGAAACCCTGTCTCTACCAAAAATACAAAAATTAGCTGGGCATGGTGGCAGGTGCCTGTAATCCCAGCTACTCAGGAGTCTGAGACAAAAGAATTGCTTGAACCCAGGAGGCAGAGGTTGCAGTCAGCTGAGATCACGCCACTGCACTCCAACCTAGGCAACAGAGTGAGACTCCGTCTCAAAAAAAAAAAAGAAAAAAAGAAAAGGAAAAAAGATTGTAGCTAATAGATTAAACTTAATGTACCCATTAATGTGCACATCCCCACCTTGCAGGGTTGGTTAGAGAATCAGCCGCAGTCTGTCAGCACAGCGGATGCTTAGGAGAGTGCAGCTATTGAGACAGGAGTAGGGAATGGGATCTGCACAACAGCAGTGACACAGGCAGAAGTCCTAGTAGGCCTTGGGATGATTTTCCCATTTCATAGATAAGGAAACTCAGGCTCGAAGGGCCAGGGAAGTGATGGGGCCCCTGCCTGCCATCTGCAGGACAGAGAAGAGGGAGTATGCAATGGAGATTGGGGGTGCTATCTACTTTACCATCTTCATCACCATCGGTGCCTTCATTGGCATCAACCTGTTCGTCGTCGTGGTGACCACCAACCTGGAGCAAATGATGAAGGCAGAAGAGCAGGGACAACAGCATCGAATAATCTTCAGTGAGGTGCATGGGATGGGGAGAGCAGAAGGGAAGAACAGGAGTGTGTGTGAGAGCGGACTTGAGCACATGTGCATGTGTGTGTGTGTGTGCTTGCATAATCAAGGGCCTGGAGAAAGTCAATTTGGAGACCTGGAGAAAGCAGCCCCCATCTTGAGTACCCACACACCACCTGGAGCTTCTAAAAGGTGTGGATTTGCTAGATGTTAGATTTCCAATGCAACTCAAAACTGAGCATCTGGGTGACCTTGGGGCATTTACCCAATCTAAGCCTCAGTTTTGTTCTTCTGTAAAATGGGAATAATAGTAGTACTTAACTCATAGGGTTCTTTTATGGGGGTTATATGGGTAAATGAATAGTGCTTGGTGCATGGTAAGCACTCAATTAATGTTAGCTACCGTATTATTCATTCAGGGCAGTACTTCCATAAGGTTGGGGAAAGGAGGGGAGTACTTCTAAAAGAACAGAGAGCTGGAGCCCTGGGCTTGAGAGTAGGCAGGACTTTATAAGTTTCTGGGTAGGGTTTATCAGGGTTGAAATCCAGGGCAGGACTAAGTTTTGAAAAGGGGTGAGAATTTTTAAAGAGGTCGGTGAAGGGCATGTGCATTTAAAGTTGGGCTCCCCAGCAAGGTAGGGAGGCTAAGATTGGTGAGAGTGAAATGAAGGCCTTCGAACCCCGGGATCCTAAGAGACTCATCCTCCTAAAGCCAAGCAGGAAACGGGTGTGGGGGACATACCTGCCTGAGCTGTCCCAACCCCTCTCCATGCCCCGCTTCCCAGACAGGCGCAGAGGAAGAGGAGGATGAGAACCAGCAGCTGCCAGTGGTGCACTGTGTGGTGGCCCGCTCGGAGAAATCTGGTCTCCCCCAGGAACCCCTTGTGGGGGGGCCCCTGTCGAACCTCAATGAAAACACTTGCGACAACTTTTGCTTGGTGCTTGAGGCAATACAGGAGAACCTGACGCAGTACAAGGAGATCCGAGATGAGCTCAACACGTAGGGGAGGGTACTGGGGGTGCCCTCAAGTCATGTGAGTCAGAGCTGGGCGGAGCATCAGAATCTTCTGGCCTCACGCCCTCACCATTTTATAAAGCAGACCCTGGGCCCAAGAGAGGTCCCCCAGCTTATTGGTGAAAGAGCTGGAATCCAGACTCCGGGTTCCTCCCATCTCACATAAGGGCACAGCTCAGCCTGGGTCGTGACAGAGTGAAGCGTGGGTGACTCCAAGGAAGGGGTGGGAGGGCTGCTTCCCTCCCCTGCAGCCTTCTGAAAGGCACTCACTGCTCCATCCCCAGGATCGTGGAGGAAGTGCGCGCAATCCGCTTCAACCAGGAGCAAGAGGCAGAGGTGTTGCAGAGACGCAAGACAAACGGGTCGTTGGAGACTATGTCATCCAAGGACCTCCGCCATAAGTCTCACCAGCAAGACTTGCTCAGTGCGCTCATTGACATGGAAAAGGTGTGCCTTCCCTTTCTTACTGAATCGGTACTCGCCCTGACACTCTGCCCAGCCCAGAGCAGACCCGCCTCTGGACCATTTGTCTAAGTTTCTGTCTATTCCAAAGTCTGGTCTGCCGGTTTTTTTTTTTTTTTTTTTTTTTTTTTTTTTTTTTGAGACCAAGTTTCATTCTGTCGCCCAGGCTGTAGTGCAGTGGCGCGATCTCGGCTCACTTGCAACCTCTGCCGCCCGGGTTCAAGCGATTCTCCTGCCTCAGCCTCCCAAGTAGCTGGGATTACAGGCACCTGCCACCATGCCTGGCTAATTTTTGCATTTTCAGTAGAGATGGAGTTTCACCATTTGGCCAGGTTGGTCTTGTACTCCTGACCTTGTGATCTACCTGCCTTGGCCTCCCAGTGTGCTGGTGTTACAGGCATGAGTCACTGCACCCAGCAGTCTGCCTCTTAAATTTCCACCCACCCCGCTGTCACTGCCCGTTTGGTTAGGTTCTGCACTTTCCTTCTCGGAGAGGCTTCACCCTTCCAGCTAGTTTCCTCTCTACCACCTTCAAACCTACCCTTTCTTAGTGTGTGTGCCATCAACCAGCTCCGTGCCTGACTAGTGACAGATACTTAGGCCCATTGTGGGTACAGGACCCCAGGATCTATCTAAAGTACCTAAAAGCAGCTGCTTCCTGAGCTCCTGGCACACACCCATGTTACTTAGTTTCTTTTTCTGCCCCCACCATCATCTGCCCAGGATACACCCTGGGCTCCCAAACTCAGAGCGGGTACTAGGTAGGCTCAAGTTAGACCTATGAAGAACTTCCCTGGGAGGCCTGGCTGAGGCAGCTGGTGAGACTGGAGGAGGTGAGTAAGGGAGCCTACAATATCAGGGTAGGGAGATTCACAGGACCTCTCGGTTTGCAGGTTCATGACTCGAGCTCACATATACTCCTTAAAACACGCAAGAGCAGCCACTAAGAGGACAGGATGGGAGCCAAGGGGCCTGCACACATACACTCCCAGCTGCTGCGTCTTCCTGTGCCCTTGGTGTGGCTTGGCACAGCCTGGCCAGAGGCCATCCTCTCCCTTACACCTGGGCAGAGGCCAGGGACTGTGAAGGTGGCAGCATCCACAGGGCTTGTGCCTGTGAGCCCTAGGTCCAGAGGAGCCAGGACAGAGAAGGATGCTGGATGATGAGAGTGGGAAGCCTAGCAGCAAGGATGAACACAGAAGGGGGTGCTGGCCAATGCAGCCAGGATTTGACCTAATGATGGGCAGCCCTGGCCCCTGCTCTCACCCAGAGCTGGTGGGGAGCCTCAGTGGGCCCCAGCACCAAGAAGAGAAAGGCCAGGCCAGTGGGGCCAGACATCTGTGTATTGACAATAAAGTTTTATGTTGGAATCAATGTCTCTGACTGGTGGATTTCCAACCCCTTGGGGCAATTGCCTGGGTCTGATAGGGAAGACAGATCTTGCCCCTCAAAATCCTGTTTGTCTGGTGGTAGAGTCACAGATTGCCCTCAAGAACTCCCAGTCTAATGGGAGGGAGAATTGCACCTCTAAAAATTTCTGACTTAATGGTGGAGCTATAACCCTTGCCCTCAGGGTCCTAAGCTTTGTGGAGCAAAGTCTGGTCCTTATGAGAGGGAGCCCCTGTCTGCTAAAGGAGATGGCCCTACCTGCTCTCTCCTGTCTGAAGATGGAGGCTGGTCCTTGCTCTGGGGAGCCCTTGTCTGATGGGATCACCAAAGACCAAGTCACACTAGTATAGGCAGCTGCATCCAAGGGCAATGGAGAGTGACTGGTTAAAGCATGGCTCCTGGCAGCTTCCTGGAGGAGAGGAGGATTTTGTGGGTCAGGTGAATAAAGTCTGGTGGGGGACTTAGGAGCTGTGAAGCCTATTTGGGACCTTCATACTCAGGGCCATTGAGAACCTCAGAGGCTCCGGAGCTATGCAATCAGGAGAGAGTCTGAGAAAACTGTGGCAGTTACGGGCAATAGAAAGAGCTACCTTGGAGGACAGGAAACCTGGGTTCTGGTCCTTCAGTGAATTGCTTGGTCTTGTTTTCCCCATCTGTGCAATGGGGTGAGGGTGAGATTGATCTTGAGCTCTAAAATCAAAATAATCCCCTCTTAGCCCAGGAACTGGAAGACCGATAGGATCAGCTATGTCCCTGGGATGCAGGTTCACTAGTCTTGGGTGTAGGGGGATAGCCTAGAAGGTCTGGACATCTGCCCTGCTGTTCAGCGAAGCCTGACAATTAGGAGCTGTGGGGATATTCACCAGTTGAAATGGCAGTCCCCAGAGATCCACTGATTGCAGCTGACGGGAAACCCCACCCTCCATCCTCCTCCCATCAGCATTGGTTCCAGCCCTGAAAAGCCCCCTGGGGTCTGTTGGGAAGGAGCCTGGGCACCTGGGGATGGGTGGTGCACTCAGCAAGCAGATGAGAGGCAGCACCAGAGCTGGCAGTGCCTTCCTGTCTTGGAACCGTTAATCTATTCCACTGTTTGAACCAGGACTTCTTCCCAGCACCCTCCAGGACCATCATCAGCATAGACATGAGCAGCCAGTGGCTTTTGCTGTTGCCGTTGCTACCTATTGGGGATGGCACCCTCCAACTGCCTGGTGAGTATCTACACACCTTTTCCACCCATCCTTCTCTGGGGGCTCTCTTAGCCCCTCTTCTTGATGGCCAGAGAGGGAAGAAGGTGGCAGATCAGATGGTATCTTCAGGAGGAGCTAATAGTTTGAGCATCGCTGTCCTTTACCCCCAATTGTCTGAAAGGCTTGGAGCATCAATGAACTTAGAGGCAGGAGCATGGCAGGATTACCTCCACGGAGCTCCTGGCCTTGACCATCTATCTCTTCCAGGATGCTATTTTGTCTGTCTACTCCCTTCATCTTGCCTGTCATCTCTTCTGTCTCTGCCTTTGTCTTTCCTATCCAGGTCAACCTAATAGCCTGGAGTTTCAGCAGGCTAGTTCCTGCCCAAGCTGGCCTGGAACTAAGGGCCCAGGAAGTCATACTCCCTTCCCCGGCCCTGCTCTAGCAAAGAGCAACTACCACGCCCCATGCCTTCCTGAACCTGAGTTAGGAGTGCAGCCCTGGATTCTGAGCTCCTAGGATGGTATGAGGACCGATATTGGGAGGTAGCTGGAAATTGTGTGTCTTATCATCCCTACGAGTCCATAAGTTTTACCAGCGACAGGAGCATCCCTGGCAAACTTTCCAGGAAGTGGACACCAATTCTGATGACAGGAGCAACAGGGGATAATTGTTCCCAATAGCAGGTCTATTCATTGAGTACCTGCTAGGTGCTAAGCACAGTGCTGAGTGCTTCACATGCACTGTTTCATCCTCACGACCATCTGTGAAGTGGGTACAGTTGAGGAAGCTGAGGCTTAGAGACATGAAGCGATTTCTATGTCCCCCGTGTCCCCATGGGGGATGTATCCTCCATCACAGAGCTGGGATGCTAACCCAGGTCTGACTTCAGAGCCTAGATCACACTTCTCAAGGGAGCTTCTGTAGGCAGGAAACCTCAATATCATAAAGATGTCAATCCTCATCAAATCTGTAATTGCAGGGCACCTCCAATCACAATTCCGGCAGGTTGTTTGTAGATATTGTTAAGCTGATCCTAACATATATAAGGAAGAACAAAAGACCAAGGATAGTCAAGATGATTTTGAAGTACAGGATGGGAGACCCACCCTACCAAATATTGAGACTTACTACAAAGTAACAGTAAGATAATGTGGTGTTGGTTGGGGGAAGGATGGGCTTTTCCATAAGGGGCCAGCGATAACTGATTAACCACATGGAAAAAACATAAAGTCAGATTAAATGAAAACATCTCTCCCTGTAAATAAAAACTTGAGACCCCTACAGCAAGATATGTAAGTTAGTTCAAACTAGATCTTTGCTGCAAATGAACCCCACAGACGACTAGAGTTTACAATGCTCTTCCACATTGAACCAAGCCCCTCACTGTGCTGAGAGAAACATAAAGGCCCAGAGAGAGGTGAGACCTTCCCACGTCACCCAGCAAGCCAGTAGTAGAGCCAGGTCTAGAGCCTTGGTCCCCCTACCCTTTCCAAGTACCCTTGCCAGTTCCCCTGCCCTGTTGCAATCCCTTAGCTCTGCACAGGGCTGGAAGAAAGTGGGTGTGGGACTGGGCACAGTGGCTCATGCCTACAATCTCAGCACTTTTAGAGGCAAAGGCAGGAGGCTTGCTTGAGGCCAGGAGTTTGAGACCCGCTTGGGTAACATAGTGAGACCTCATCTCTACAAAGAATTTTTTAAAAGGCCAGGCGCTGTGGCTCACGCCTGTAATCCCAGCACTTTGGGAGGCCAAGGCGGGTGGATCATGAGGTGAAGAGACCGAGAGCATCCTGGCCAACATGGTGAAACCTCGTCTCTACTAAAAACACAAAAATTAGCTGGGCATGGTGGCACGCACCTGTGGTCCCAGCTGCTCGGGAGGCTGAGGCAGGAGAATTGCTTGAACCCAGGAGGTGAAGGTTGCAGTGAGCCGAGATCACCCACTGCACTTCCAGCCTGGTAACAGAGCTAGATTCCATCTCAAAAGTAAATAAATAAGTAAAGAGAAAAATATTAGTCGACTGTGGTGATGTACACCTGTAGTCCCAGCTACTCAGGAGGCTGAGACAGGAGGATCGCTTGAGCCCAGAAGTTCAAGGCTGCAGTGGGCCATGATCGCACCAGTGCACTCCAGCCTGGGTGACTCAGACCCTGTCTCTAAAAAAAAGTGGAGGTTTAGATGGTGCCAGAAAGGATCTGCCCTCACAACATTGGGGACAAAGATTGATGCATCTTCAGAAATAGGTGATGGGAAGGACAAAGAATGAGCCTGCCACCTCGGCTGGGTAACCTCCAATTTTCTTTCTTTCTTATTATATTTTATTTTTTTTTTGAGATGGAGTTTTGCTCTTGTTGCCCAGGCTGGAGTGCAATGGCATGATCTAGACTCACTGCAACCTCTGCCTCCTGGGTTCAAGCAATTCTCTGACCTCAGCCTCCCAAGTAGCTGGGATAACAGGCATGTGCCACCACATCTGGCTAATTTGTGTTTTTTGTAGAGATGGTGTTTCACCATGTTGGTCAGGCTGGTCTTGAACTCCTAATGTCAGGTGATCTGCCCACTTTGACTTCCCAAAGTGTTGAGATTACAGGTGTGAGCTACCGTGCCTGGCCAGCCTCCAATTTTCTGAATTAGCCTTTTGAAAACTGCCAAGAGGTTGGGCATGGTGGCTCAGATCCATACTCCCAGCACTTTGGAAAGCTGAGGCAGGTGAATTATTTGAGGCCAGGAGTTCATGACCAGCCTGACCAAAATGGTGAAACCCTGTCTCTACTAAAAATACAAAAATTAGCCTAGCATGGTGGAACATAGCTGTTGTCACAGCTCTTGGGAGGCTGAGGCAGCATGTGGAGGTTGCAGTGAGACAAGAAGACACCACTGCACTCCAGCCTGGGTGACAGAGTGAGACTATCTCAAAAAAATAAAAAGGAAAGAAAAGAGGGCCGGGCGCAGTGGCTCACACCTGTAATCCCAGCACTTTGGGAGGCTGAGGTGGGTGGATCACAAGGTCAAGAGATTGAGACCATCCTGGTCAACATGGTGAAACCCTGTCTCTACTAAAAATACAAAAAATTAGCTGGGCATGGTGGCGCGTGCCTGTAATCCCAGCTACTCAGGAGGCTGAGGCAGGAGAATTGCCTGAACCCGGGAGGCGGAGGTTGCGGTGAGCCGAGATCGTGCCATTGCACTCCAGCCTGGGTAACAAGAGTGAAACTCCGTCTCAAAAAAATAAATAAATAAATAAAAATTAAAAAAAAGAAAGTAAGTAAAGAAAAAAGAAAACTGCCAAGAATGCAAAAACAGCATATCAGGTGGTGGGCCTATTTCTGCCCATTACCCAGGGGAAATAAGGTTTCCAAGGGATTCAACTCAACATACTTGATTTGGGCCTTTCTCTCTAGAGAGAGCAGCTGGCTCAAGCTTAGGAATGAAGGCATTGGGTTCTGGTGTCTGATAGACTTGGTTTCAAATGCAGTGGCATCACTTCCTGGCTATGTGACCGTGGACAGATGTCTTCACCAGTCTGGGCCTCAGTTTCTTCATTTGATAAATGGAAATAATAGTCCTTTTTTTTTTTTTTTTTGAGATGGAGTTTCGCTCTTGTTACCCAGGCTGGAGTGCAATGGCGCCAGCTTGGCTCACCGCAACCTCCGCCTCCTGGGTTCAGGCAATTCTCCTGCCTCGGCCTCCTGAGTAGCTGGGATTACAGGCATGCGCCACCATGCCCAGCTAATTTTTTGTATTTTTTTAGTAGAGACGGGGTTTCACCATGTTGACCAGGATGGTCTCGATC